GACTGTGATTCATAAAGAAGAGTGCTCCATGTTTTTGAACATTATCGACTATCGTGAACCTTGTTTGAATGCGTCATTGACCGTGTTTGCAAACCTTGAAGTCTTTGCCTGCTATCAAGGTTCACCAATCAAGAACCTTGGTAGCGCTGTTGTACCAGACTCAGTTCAAAAAGTAAGTTCCTTGTTGGAAATTTTGAACAACCTGTCGATGCTGTCTGAGGAGCGCTGCACTTATTGCCACCTGGCTCAAGCAATACATTCCCTTGTTTGAGCCTTGTTTCCAGTTTTGTATCTCTTTACAAGTTGTTAGCTTTTAAAGGTGCTGTACTTTTTTCTTTTTTTTTAACTCGAACTGCCTCGGTGCCCACTGTAGCAGTTGTACAGTCCGTTTTGGTACCTAAGCTGTGTACACTTTCCTTGTGCACTCTGTGTACAGACATGTTGTGCACTGTGATTTGTTTTTTTCTTAGATTTTTGTTTGATTTTTTCCCTAGGACATGCACCTACCTGTGGCAGTACAATTACTTTTCTTTCTGTCATTTATCATGCTGTGGACCACAATTTAGTCACCAGTGTTCTTTTGTATTGTATTTTTTGGCAAGTGTTTGAACCTGATACCTTGTGTTGCTACTGCTACTATGATAAACGAATGGTACGTTTTCCTCTAACCTACAATTTAAATGAAAGTGTGCTTTTTCTGTTCCAAAGCTCGGGGATGTTTTTGCTGTTACAATCTGTTTTGTTTTCTGAGTTTTATGTGGCAAGATATTGTGTTTTGTACTTTTGGCATATTTTCAGCATTAAGGGCAACATCTTGTGTTGCCTGTCGTCTGCCTGGACCGAGAACAATGTGCACTGTGATATTTGTACAGACGGCGTCTGGCTGTGATAAATAAATACGCATTATTCCATTCACGATATTCATTATTTCTTGATACTTGATAAGTTCCCCCGCAACGGTGGCTCAGTGGCTAAGGCGTAGCGCTGCTGAGCACTAGGGCGCAGTTTCGATACCCGGCTGCGGCGGCCGCATTTCTGATGGAGGCGAAAAGCAAAAACGCCCGTGTGTACGAGATTTCGGCACACAATAAAGATTCCCAGGTAGTAAAACTTGATCCTGAGCTCTCCCCTACGGCGCGCTTCATCGCCTGCGTTGCGTCGGCGCGTTAAACCATACAATCAATGGATACATTGATAAATCGTGCGGACATGGTGTCAAGGAACCTCGCCCGAGTCGGTAGGCGTGAAGGGCGCTCGCGGCTGGCGCAGCCACCCAGCGAAGGGCGGCCGGCCGGCCGGCGCGATGTGACGTCGTCGACGTCACGTCACGTGACGCGCAGGCCTGAAAAGCTTCCGGGGGTGACGGTCTGCGTCGTTGTGGGTATTTTGTTCGTCCCCAGCGAGCCTTACAGTGGTGCAGATGTGTTTACGTTAGAACGCCTCTGTGCACACAAAGAGCTCAATCGCGTTAGCCATAGAGTGCATTGCTATACACGAAGCGAATGAGACGAAAAATCGGGGGCGGGACGAGTGGGGTAAGGGGAGAAAAATGAGGCGTGTGAAAGAAAAAAAAAAAGAGTAGCTTGACATTCAACAGTTCTGCGACATATAAAATAAAGTAAAAAATATACCGAGTGCTTCATTCTAATGCAACGGAGAAAACGGGAAAAGAAAGTGGCAGCGAAACGTCGCCAGTGAATGAACACGGCAGTTTTCGCTCACGAAACGTCGATAGCAGGTCGACATAGCCCCAGCAGAATACAAAGCGCGTATCGAGGGGTTATTGCACCAGCGTTCGCAAGCCGAATGTCCAATGGCCGTCAGCGTACCAGGCTTCGTCGAAAACAAAAAAGTCAGAGGCACACGGTGTGTGCAGTAACATTTTTTCATGATTTTTCACTTCGTAAAATAATCCATCGACAGTGTTCACACTTTGTCACTTGCTGCGTAGCATACTGGCGAGACAAGAAAAAAAAAGGCAGAAATGTATTGTGCCTTTCTTTCCTCATGTTTCGTCGTCCAAGTACTATGGAGCACTTGTAGCAACTTGTTTGTGCATATTGGGCCAGTTTCAATACTTTTACATCGATGTCGTGGGATCATCGGTTTAACTTGCAGGTATATTGGAAACCTTCGTAGCGCTCATTGAAGTTTTGTTTTTTTAGCGTTAGCTACACTGGCCTCGCTAAGCCAATTTTGCGTGGCACTGGTCTGCGCATGCGGAATGATACTCCGCCGCCGCCACGCATGGCTCGCCGCCGGTGTGCGCGCAATTCGATGCGCCGCGCAGACGATCAGTGGTGTCACGCACCGGAGCCGGCAGCTCCCTCGCACTCAGCCGCGGCCGCGCGCGACTCGCCGCCGCCGGTGTGCGCTTTCTAGAGGAGTGCCGTCATAGCCTTGGTTGACTTATGGACGCCGACGCGCGCGCCTTCCCTGTGCAGTCGCCATCTGACACTGCGCTGGAGCCGCTTGATAGCGCCTCTGACTGGCGTTTGCCACTGTGGTATAGCCATGGAGAAGAAAGAATAATCAGCTGAACCTTTGCTAATGCAACGTATATCCTGGCATAGCTCAACTAAGGCACTGCCATTTTTCGTTTTATTCGCGGTGAGCTCGTCCGAATGCGGAACATGGTCATTTTCATTTGTGACTATCCAAGGGGTTACAATATGACTACTTGTACACTACTCCCAATTAAAAAGAAGTTGTGAAAGAGCAAGGGTGTGCCAAAGAAAACTGCTGCAAATAGTTTCATTCTGTTTCTCTGTTTTGTTTTCTCTTCAAATCTATAGATTGACTTGACAAGTTTTCTCATGACAGTTCAACTCCTTCAGAAGGGAACAGTGACAGACTGTGTGTAGATTTGCAAACTTGCATAAGATTGTTCAAAGCCATTCAATATTATATTGCAAGAAATGTTTTAATATGTTGATTTGCGCTTGTCACTGTGATCTGGATCAATTAGGGTGTAAATAAATAGGTATTTTGAAGTCAGCTAGGTAATATATTTGAATCGACAGAGTGGAACTTCTTGATTGTAATACATCTACAAGTTGTCATCAGTGATATTCATTTCAAGCAGACAAATATTTTTACCCCACCCGATGAGTTTGATACCTTGAACGGTCCGTTGAGTTTCGTAGGTACTTCAGCAATGTGACTATCTGCAGTAATACGCTGCAAGGCAGATGTATATCTTTGAACACACATTGAGTATAATGGAAGGTGCCATTGCAGTGCTGTACTTTGGGACACTCGGTTGAATATTTGACGATTGTAACATCCTTTTGCGTCATCATGATAAATCTAATTTATTGATTGATAGATGAATGCAAGAGCTTCTATTGATCCACGTTGATGCGCTGTATTTATTCCTCTCTACTGTTTGTTTTTTAACATGCAAGCAAAGGAGAAAAAAATGGCAGTGGCTTAGCTCAGCTATGCCAGGATATACGTAGCGTTAGCAAAGGTTCAGCTGATTATTCTTAGCTTTCCGGATATCATGCTTACAGCTGTTCCAATGACACACACGCGGTATACGTATTATGCGGCACATGTATATTTATTTTGCCGGGCAACTACTTCAGGATCCCATGAGTTAAGGTTCTCCGCTCTACTGCACTCTCCTTCTCCATGGCTATACCACAGTGGCAAACGCCAGTCAGAGGCGCTATCAAGAGGCTCCAGCGCAGTGTCAGACGGCGACTGCACAGAGAAGGCGCGCACGTCGGCATTCATATGTCTACCAAGGCTATGACGGCACTCCTCTGGAAAGTGCACACCGGCGTCGGTGAGTCGCGCGCGGCCACGGCTGAGTGCGAGGGAGGTGCCGGCTCCGGTGCGTGACACCACTGATGATCTGCGCAGCGCATGAAATTGCGCGCACACCAGCGGCGAGCCGCGTGCGGCGGCGGTGGAGTATCATTGCGCATGCGCAGACCAGTGCCACGCGAAATTGGCTCAGCGAGGCCAGTGTAGCTAACGCTACAAAAAATGTGCAACCACAAATTCGAGTCGGGCGCCCGAAACGTTGAAAGAGTTCGCACGCGATCACGCGAGTTCCAACCAGGGAGCATGATAAAGAAGTGGAACCCTCCCGAATTATCTGAGCTGGGTTTGCCAAGTTATGGAATGCGCTAGGAATGAGGTGCCAGAGTAGAAGCGGACAGGACGAGTGCAGATTAACAACTGATTTGTAGAAGTCACATAAAATACTCCCTGAAACAATGCGCGCATGCAATGACAGTCATGACCACGGGACCAAAGCACGCTCCTTCACCAACACTCCTACATACACAAGAAAATCAAGCTGTTTCCTGGAACGATACACATCATACGCTTCACCAATACATCTCTGTATGGTTCCAGGAAAGAGCTTGATTTTCGTGTGTATATAGGATTTTTGATGGAGGAGCGTACTTTGGTCCCGTGGTCACGACTGTCATTGCATGCGCGCTTCGTTGCAGAAGGACAGCTTACGTGATTTAAATAAATGTATTGTTATTCGGTGCTCATCCTGTCTGCTTTGATTCTGGTGTCTCGTTCTTAGTGCAGTTCATGTTTATATAGATTGTCTTACCAACTAGCCCCCTACATATGCTTCCAGGGGTTAGCCATGTCGCCCCCCCCCCTTAATAAGCAGACCTGACCTGTCGTTGCGTAAGACGCAGGGTGATGGCTCTGTGGGTTTCGATCAAACTAGTGCTCATGGGTCCCTGGTGATGTATTCGAAAAACGGCTTGCTTCCCACTTTGACCCTTCAAAAACCGGATACCCAGAGGTATTCTATTGTGAGAGCACGTCATTGTTTCAATTTTATGTATGTATCAATCGCGACTCTTGATTTCTTCTATTTACATTCGTCCGATCAGTGGAAGGGTGCTGCGGAAAACCCTCTCTTCTCCTCTTTACTGTAGGAGCTCTCTACGCGACTGTACTGCTGCCAAATACTTCAGTGAGCACAAATCAGCCCACTTATCTGCCTTTTGCATTTGTAGGTCCATCCTGATGCAGCGGCTACAGGCCGGTGATGACCATTCCCTGCAAGTTCTCACGGCTGCTTCTCTGCGTCACGACTTGTGTCGGCGTCTACGTTGTCTTCGTGTGGTACCTGCCCATGTCCTTCATTGGCCACCGCGTAGACGTCGGACTCACGGAGGCGCTCAGCTGTGACCCCTCCGTCACCGCACCCACGCGGAACGCTGAGTCCGAAACCAGGAAGAATCCGAGGTCACCATCCAAGCGCATTTTCACGAAGAATCGATTAGAAAGTGGCCGTCACACGTACGCTTTCCCCTACATCTTGAACAAGCCCGATTTGTGCTCCAAGCCACCGTCGACGGCCGTTCTCATAGTTGTCATAACGAACTCCATCAACTTCGCGCAGCGCAACGCCATCCGTAGCACCTGGGGCGATGCGGCCCGCCGCCGGGGCTACAAGGTGATGTTCCTAGTGGGGACACCCAAACTGAAGCCGTTCCAAACGAACATAGCGTACGAAGATTCGCAATATGGAGACATGGTTCAAGCTGATTTCGTTGACTCATACCGGAACCTGACGCTCAAGTCAATCACCATGGTTCGATGGGCCAGCGCCTACTGCTCCAACGCCAGCCTCGTGCTCAAGATCGACGATGACATGCTGCTGAACGTCTGGGACCTGGCGGCTCGGGTTCGAACCCTCAGCCGGGTCAAGAGGACGCTGTGGGGTCTGCTGGCGCAGAAGTGGACGCCCCAGAGAAATCCCCGGAGCAAGTGGTACGTGTCCTCCAGGGCGTACCGGAGCTCTTCGTACCCGGACTTCCTGGCTGGACCAGCGTACCTCCTGTCTGGAGACAGCGTGCCACTCCTGGCGTGGGGCAGCTCCGGAGTGCCCTACCTGTACTTAGAGGACGTCTTCCTAACGGGTATTGTGGCCGAGAAGGTTGGCGTCCGCCGAGTGCACGATGAAGGTTTCCTCAACTACAGGAAGCTCTTTACACCGTGTACCAGGCCCCGGATCCTCACGAGCCATGGGTACACACCGCTGTACTTGAAGCACACCTGGCGGGCGCTCTTTGCCGGTGCCGAGAGACGGACCTGCGACGATGGCACGCCTGTGGACGGTGACGTAGGGAACGACACGGAAGTGAAAGTGAACGTTGAAGTGCTGGGCCGTGATTAATTGGCCGGGAAACGCCATACCCACTTGTGTCACTAGGGGTGGGGATTACACTCACGAAGGAAGAACTCAGCAGTTATCGGAAAGTGCTCGAAATAACGGAGGAAGGAAAGAGCAGGTCACACAAAAAGTAAAGATCATTGCTTTATGAGCAAAAGTTACGGCGTTTCAAACGCTCTTTTTCCTCCTGTTTAAGATAGATGCGAACGTTTAATTTTAGACTGTGATTGCAGTCGACGTGCATGCCGACAGCTGGGACGGTCGAGGAAACTCGGCGGCAACATCGACGAAAAACGCGGGCAAAAAAAAAGGTTAATCGTTTTAGTACAGGACATTAATGACAAAGCGTCGATTCTCGCATTCGTCAAGAGACTCGATAAACGCGAATGGTGCCTCATTGATGGAGCTTATTACGATGTGTTGGCGCTTTCATCGCGCTACCATGTTGTTTAACTCATCGAACCAATTTGTAGAAAAGAGGCATGGTGAGTTGTGGCGTGAGAAAATACAGTTGGTACTTAAGAATGTATTTTGTTTGCACTAGCTGTAAGTGACAATGCAGATTTACAGATAGGACAATGTAAGTGGGGCAGATCAACGTAGCTTTAAGGGAGAAGACTTCGTCGAACGAGAATATGAAATGGATTTAGTGTCTGGCACACTCCACAGGGGAGGGGGTTCAAAAGCTCAAGGGCTATGCTGCTATAAAAATACCTGGAACTTTTCACCAGTCCGGTACTTCTATCTTTATCAAGATGAAGACAAGTACCCGTCAAAGAACGTTCTTTTGCCATATCCAACACATCTGCCCATCACTTATAGCGATGAGCACAGGTAGCCAGGCAGCCTGCAGAGCCCTCTCCACGACAGGTGACATTCTGGACGCGTATGAGTGCCTACTAACGATACACTTTGATGTCCACTCATTCAGCTATTTTGGGATATAGTGAATACCGGGTCATTTAACTCTGGGATCAGAGAGAATGGAGTAGCACACGCCGTATCGCTTGTAAGTCTCCTGGTCCTCCCTTGTGGTGGCTGGATTCACTGAAGTGACGCGCAATACTTTCTCTTGCAAGTTTCGACAGGCGCGCAAGGTTAGATGAAATGCGTAACAATTGCAGAGCTTTGCCATATCCACCCCAATCTCTCGGGAGAGGCGAGACAGTCCTGCTACTCGTACTCATGCGAACTCATTCTTTACTGACTCCTCTCACTCAGTACTACTTACAAGGGAAGAATAGGTCTCCCGCGTGATCGGCGGTTATCCAGTTAACACCCCCAATTTTTTTAGATTGGCCGGGTAGTCTTATAACCAGGGGTAAGTGCTTTGGGTGAATATCCACTAAAGTAAGACCAACGATCCTTGAAGAGTGGCTGGCGGGCTCCTTCCCAGACATCTTGAAGGCACAAGTCAAACATCTGGATCCTGTCTAATGACTAGCACTTCATTTTGCTTTTTTGTGGACCCGGACTGGGCTTCATTTTATTTCAATAAAATTGTTCTCTATCTGTAAAGCACAAGTTCTCGCTCGATGAATTCTCGTCAGTACAGCTCTGGCCTATAAAGGTTTGTGGACTTGCTTCGAACTGGAACAACAATGTTAACTAATGTTTGACAGTTTTCACAAGCAGTGTTTAAATTTCTGATGGTGTGTTAAAATTTCTGAAAACTCGTTCTGTAATGGACACTTGAGTAGAATGTGGGTGTGCGTACGGGAAGCGCAACCACGCCATCTGCGTTTTGGACACTCTTCAGTGTTTGACTCGTCACGTAGGCAAGGCAATAAATGTCTTTTTGCGATTATTCAGCAAGAACAGCGGTGCTGCCTTCAAGACCAATGCGCTGAGGTCTCGACTGATTTTTCAACCAGATTTTTTTTCTGTTGGCAGGTGAGTGGTGATTCATTTATTTATTTATTTATTTACAAATACTGCTGTCCAATGTCTGGGACATTGCAGGAGCGGGTACAGAAAAATCAACGAAAGCACAGAAACAAACAATTGTGCGCACAAATTTATGTGACTAACACATAAAATTTTTCCCGAACTCTGCAGTGTTCAGTCTACGCAATGCACCATCAAGCTTGTTCCAAACTTCCACCACACGCGGAAAAAAAGAGAATATTAGCGAAAGATAAGGGCGCGTGAACGCGGGTAATTTTGTGTACAATCTTGTGCAACAAGATAATACTCTCACGTGTACGGCGGTGTTCCAGTTAATGAAGTGACAAAAAATGAGCATGTGAAGACGGGGAGAAGTCCTGATCATAACGGTTAAAAATGAACCGTATAACCTTATTCTGCACAGCTTCTAACCTGTTTTTATCTTGCTCAAGATGAGGCGACCAAACCACAGAGGCGTACTCAAGCATCGGTCTCACTAGTGTCTTGTAGGCAGTTAACTTACAATCTTTGGTCGAGTTTTTCAATCTTCGCTTTAAGTAACCAAGTTTCCTTAGAGCTTGACAAGTTATCTGATCAACATGTTTGCCCCATTTAAGGTCATGTGTGAAGGTGATGCCTAGGTATTTGAATTCACTCACATGTGCTAGGGTGGACCCATTGTAGTTATAACTGAAACTGAGAGGCTGTTTTTTATTTGAGAAAGTCATAGCTACAGTTTTCTTGTAATTTATGAGCATTTGCCACGTTGAGCTCCAATCGCAGAATAACGAGAATACGTTGTTGAGGACTGACTGGTCTTGAAAGGTAGTAATGCAGTTATACAGTACACAATCATCGGCATACAGACGCATGTTTACAGGGGTTCCAGAGATGACATTAACAACATCATTAATAAATATAATAAACAAGAGAGGCCCTAGCATAGAGCCTTGCGGCACACCGGATGTGATTTCAACAGGGGATGACTACACCTGGTTGAAAGTAACGAACTGAGATCGAGAACGCAAGTAATCCGCAATCCAACCAAGTAATTTAGAATCCTTAAGAAAGGAACTAAGTTTTAGAAGAAGTTTTTTATGGCATACGTTGTCGAAAGCTTTCAAGTAGTCTATGAAATTGCGTCTGTCTGACCTCTTTTGTTAAGTGATGTGGCAATGTCATGGGTGAATTCTAGGAGCTGCGTTGTTGTAGAAAATCCAGCTCGGAAACCATGCTGACACCGGGACAGAAGGTTGTTTGCGTCCAAATACTCAACAATATGTTTATGAATGATATGTTCCAGTAGTTTACAGCTTGTTGAAATCAGAGAAATTGGTCTATAATTTGAAATGAGCTGCTTATTCCCAGATTTAAATAACGAGACAATATTAGCTGTCTTCCAAAGTATGGGAACATTGGCCGACACAAACGATTTATTAAAAATGACAGTCGAGTAACAAGCGCACCATTCGAAGTACCGCCTCAAGAACGTATTAGGAATGCCATCAGGACCGGAACCTTTAGTAACATCAAATTTTAGTATCAAATTGTGAACACCTGAACAAGAGATTGTGATGTCTGGAATTGTAGACTGAACAAAGTTGCAAGCATAATCTGGGATAGTGCCATCATCACGAGAGAAAACGGACTTGAAATAGTTGTTGAAGCTTTCTGCAATAGTGTTAGAATCGGAGCATGATTGGTCATTTATGAGGAAGCAAGAATGAACAGATGACTTCGGGTTAATAGACTTCCAGAATTTGGTCGGGTTTTCTACCATAAACCGTGACAATGTATTGTTGAAATAGAAATTTTTCGCTTCCTGCATTTTCGCCTTCGAAGTACACTTCAACGCTTATAACGCTTTCCCAAAGAAACTGTTGGCGACCCATTGTTGTGATATCCCAGTTACACACGCAGGCACGCAAACCTCAATCAAGACAAACTTCAATTATACTGCGTGAACTACGGTTACCGCCAACTGCTGCTGGCAGCTTCTGTTACATGGAAAGAGCTGCCTTTGGTCTTCGGCTGAGAAGTAGATCAGGTGACGCTCCAATTCGCGAAGAAAAATATGAACATTTAGATAATTTTTGTAAATGCACACTCAGAAATAAGAAGTAGTTCTGCACCTATAGCATAAATAAGAAGTAATTCTGCACCTATAGCAGCAAAAAGAAAGTTAGCGTAAAATAAAGATGCACACGATTGCTTGCTATGGGCGTCTGTCCGCTCTGCCATTTGCACTTTTATGAAAAAGTGTCAAAAAGGTGAGAGTTTGCCAGAATGACAAAAAAAATGACCTGGTTGTGAAGAAACTTGATTTTTTTTTCTGCGAAACCGCGCTTCATTGCTGAGTTGGCAAACGCACATATTCGAATGGTGTCCGCGAAAGCATAGTCTGGAAAGCATCCGACGGGAACCTGATGCGTGCGCCCACCATCATTCGCCGCCGTGGCCGTGCTTCTAAGCTTCTGGCTTACCGAACGTGCGCATACAGCTCGTACCACCACAGCTCTTCGCCTCACAAACTCTACGTGACGTCCCCCGTGCGCAATACAGTGAAGCCTGAGTGATACGAGTCTCACAGGGTCGCCGAAAACACAGTAAAACCTCGGTGATACGATGAACTCCTACGCGAAATTCGGGGTGATATTAACTTCTTTCTGGTCCCGGCCAAAGGCCTTTGGGCTGCAATGTAGTGAAGTATGGTTTTTGTGATCCGATGATCAGCCCACGACATTTAACGGGAACGTACACTACCGCCTAAGTAAGAAGCGGGGCTGTCCGCGTAATTGCGGAAGACACGCAATACGCGTGCTAACGGGGGATCACAAGCGCGGGAATGCACGCAGCAATGCCAAATCGTCGGAGTCACGATGTGAGAAAAATACTTTTTTCAAAAGCCTTCAGAGACGTGTCATGGCCTCCGAGATTGTGTGTGTGAATATTTAAGAGTGTGTTAACTGTGTAAGCACCCCTTACCATTGGCGCCCATCTTCCCATTTGGTCATACCGCAGCTGCCACCTCGAAGTTCTTCAGTGCCATCGATGGGAATGTTCAAAAATTATTTTCTTCCTGAAAACGAAATTGTAATGATAACATTTGACACATGAAAAGAACCCTTTTTTTCTGTGCTTTCGTTTTAAATATATAGGTGATTTTAATTGGACCACCGCAAGGTGCAAATTGCGCCTCAATATGAACAAAAATGGCGATTTTGAGAACTTTGTGAATTCATTTCCGTAAAGTTTAGCAGTTTCAGAGGTTTAAACATACTTTTTTTCTCAAAATACATTTTTGCAAAGTATTCAAAACTGATATATTCATGCAAAGTGCGTTACTCTAACAAGAAAATTACAAACATGACACATTTTGGATTACCTCTTGGGGGCGTATGTGCCAAAAAATTGCACTAATACACTGAGTTTGAAACACCCTACACAAGAACCTTTAATTGACATATAGACCACATTTGGTGTAGAAAAAAAGGAGTGGTACTTGTAAAATAACTTTTTCACAAACAACACCCAAACGACATTCCAGGAAGTTCAGAAGGCAGCCACGTGGCCAAAAAGTTTTTTCTCTCGGCAATACTCTAATGTTTCACTGTTTTAAGTGCAGTAAATCAGCACAATTTTTTTCCAAATATATTTGAAATGGTTGCCAAAATGGCTGGGAAGTTTGGCATGGAAAGACCCTTCTGTATAGTCATATACGCTCGTTGATTGTGCAGGTGTAGTGACGCTCCCCAATCGTGCCCCTTAATTTCTTCTATGCTTGAGGAACGGACGTGAATAAGTGACATGAGATTAGTTTTCTTTGAGTCTCTTCTATCCCCGGCGCTCTGTTCTCGTCTATTCTATCCCCTTCTGTCGTTTGCGCTGTTAAGCACTTTTTTCGTCTACCTCGTAGTCACCTCTTAATTTGGCGTGAACCAAAATTAGCATGATTGGGTAAGAAGGTTTCAAGAATATGACGCACTGGTCAAGACACGAATAATGTCACAATCTCGTCACGTATGTCGTCAAACACTTCTCGCCAGACACTGGCACATACCCACGAATTCGTATGTGCTGCTGGTATGCGGGTATGTGCCACAGGTGATTAACACTCAGGCCCGTATTCACAAACGCTCCTTCACTCAAGGGCTCTCCTCGGCTTGACGAAGTCAAGGTGGAGCGTGCTCCTCCACTCAAGGGGCCGCTGCATTTCATGGACGCTCGTCCACACTTCCTTCGCCAAGGGAGGCCTTGGAAATGCTCCCTTCACTTGAGTGAACTGCATGAGCCGAGAAAAGCGCCTGATAACGAGAGTATTCGCAATTGTGGTTAAGAATTGCCTATCTATGTACATTAGGAGAACGCCTTTTCTAGTTATTCTTTTTTCTAAATTGACATTACAGCAAAATACGTGCATTTAGAGTGGTAGTGTTGTTTCCCTAAGCCTTGTGCTGATAGAGTTAGCGAAACCCTCCTTCAAGTCTGGCAACAGTCGAACCCAGGCAGCTGAACTAACAGCTGATGGCATTTTGTCTGCTGCTGAACGTGTCTACCTGCTTAGTTTATTTTGTCTGGT